TTATTGTCTGAAAGCAGAGGATACCAGAAATATGTTGGCTCATGTTTTATTGATTATGCCAAGATATTGGACTATGTGGATCATAATAAAGTTGGGATAGCCTTGAGAAGAAAGGGACTTGCCGAACACTTCATTGTTCTCATGCAGCACTTATATATGGATCAAGAGGAAATGTATGACCAGAACAAGGGAATACTGCATGATTTAAAATCAGGAAAAATGCATCAGGATTGTATCCTCTTACCATTATTCAGTCTGTGTGCTGAGAAAATCCTCAGAGAAGCTGGATTATATGAAGAAGAATTGGGCATTAAGATTGAAGGGAGACTTTTTAACAACCTGATAGCACAACTGTGCTTGCTGAAAGCTAGGGAAACTAAAGAACTTGCTGATGAAGATCAGGGATTACAGCCATCCCTATGGATTACAATTCAATGTAAATAAAACCAAAATCCTTACAACTGACTCAGGAGGTCACATCATGATAAATGGAGAAAAGTTGAAATCATGAAGGATTTTTGTCATGCGTGGCTCCACAATCAATGCTGATGAAAGCACTAGTCAAGAGATCAAAAGTTTTATGGAAGTTTGTGGCACAAAACCTCTTAAGAGTGTTGAAAAGCAGCCATGTTACGTTGAGGAGTAAGGTGCACCTGACTCAAGCCATAGTATTTTCAATTGCTCATATGCATGTGAAATTTGGACATTGAATAAATCAGACCAGAGAAGAACAAGGTATTTGAGTGTGCTGCTGGAAACGAATATTGAAAAGCAGAAGGCCCTCAAGAGTGACCGAGTAGCTGCAAAGTGGGCTCAAGCACAGGAATGTTTCAGCATTGTTGTGAGGCAGGTGCAGGATTGGGCAGTGTTTTGTTCTGTTGTATACATGTGCCAAATCTGATTCAATGGCACATAACAGCAAACAAACCCATTTAATGGGAAACAGATCGTCTTCATTAAATAAGAATCAGTTCTTGTCAGCAAATATTGATGGAAAAATGGGATCCCTATCCTCACACAATATACAAAAATATTAATTTAAGAAGGATTAATGACACAACTATAATCTATAGGTCTATAAAATCATCCATGAAAAACAGGTGCAAATTTACAAGCCTTTATACAAGGCATTAAACATACTAAAAAACATATTTAAAAACATCCACAGTACAGAAGACCACATAGAAGACTGGGAACTCCTAAAATACAACATATATGTACTTCAAAAAACTTCTTCAAAAGAACAGAAAGAGAATTCACAGATTTGGAAATATTTTTCAATAATATCAAGTTACGGACTAATCACAAAGATCTATAGAAAAATGCAATAATTGAATAGGGAAAACCTGACTAGCGCAATAAAATGGACAAAAGACAAAATAGACAATTAACCAAAGATGACAGCCAGACAGTGAACAACCATATGAAGGAAATGCTCAGAATCCCTATGTATAAAAGAGAGGGGGAGGTGGGGGAAAGGAGGTGGTCTTGACCAACCCAGGGACAAGTGAACAACAAGTGATCCACAATCAGTGGCAAGGAGGGTGTGAGAGGCCTGGTAGGAATTGATCAAGGGCAATGGAACCGAGAGGAATTACGGAAACCCAAATGAAGGCTGAGCATGATAGTGGGACAAGAGGAAAGTAAAACGAAATAGAGGAAAGAACTAGGAGGCAAAGGGCATTTAGAGAGGTCTAAAGACAGGCATGTACATATATAAATATAATTATATATCATGATGGGGAAATAGATCTATGTGCATATATTTATAGGTTTAGTATTAAGGCGGCAGATGGACATTGGTTCTCCATTCAAGTACTTCCTCAATGCAAGAACACTTTGTTCTATTAAGTTGGCATTCCATGATGCACACCATCCCAACACGATCGCTGAAGACAAAGCAGGTACATAAGCAAATGTGGTTAAGAAAGTTGATGGTGCCCGGCTATCAAAAGACATAGTGGCTGAGGTCTTAAAGGCTTGAAGGTAAAAAAGGAGCCATCTAGCTGAGAAGCAACAAAGCCCACATGGAAGAAGCACACCAGCCTGTGTGACCACAAGGTGTCGAAGGAATCAGGTACCAGGCATCAAAGAACAAAAAATCTTATCATTGTTAATGAGGTGGAGTGTGGAGTGGAGAACCGAGGCCCATCTGTAGGCAACTGGACATCCCCTTACAGAAGGGTCACAGGGAGAAGACAAGCCAGTCAGGGTGCAGTGTAGCAACGATGAAACATACAACTTTCCTCTAGTTCCTAAATGCTTCCTCTCCCCCCCCCCAGCCCCCTCCCTTCACACACTATCATGATCCCAATTCTACCTTACAAATCCAGCTGAACCAGAGCATGTACACTGGTACAGATAGGAACCTAAACACAGAGAATCCAGGACAGATGCTCCCTTCAGGACCAGTGGTGAGAGTGGTGATACCAGAGAGTGGAGGGAAGGTGGGATAGAAAGGGGGAACCGATTATAAGTATCTACATATAACTTCCTCCCTGGGAGATGGACAACAGGGAAGTGGGTGAAGGGAGACATCGGACAGTGTAAGACATGACAAAATAATAATAATTTATAAATTATCAAGAGTTCATGAGGGAGGAGGTAGTGGGGAAGGGGGGGGGGAAATCAGGAGTTTATACCAAGGGCTCAAGTAGAAAGCAAATGTTTTGAGAATGATGAGGGCAACAAATGTACAAATGTACTTGACATACAAGGGATGCATGTATTGATTGTGATTGTATGAGCCCCCAATAAAACGATTTTTAAAAAAGAAATGCAAATTAAAATGGCAGCACTTACAACACAATTAAACAAACATGCTGGAAAGGCTGTAGAGCGCTTGGACCCATCATACACACTTGGTGGATTGCAGAATTGTACAGCCACTGTGGATAATTGTAAGGCACTACCATAAACAAGCAGAAATAGAAATATCATGTGACCCAGAAATCTCTCTCCTTTGTATATACCCCAAAGAAATAAAAAATACCGTATTTATTTCAGTGTTATTCAAAATAGGAAACAGAGGGAAATGACCAAAATGCCTGTCTGTGGAGGAATGCATGAAAAGAAAACAAAACTCTGATACATACATACAATGGAATATGTTGCATCCCTAAAAAAACTATGATGACCCTGACAAGAACCCCAGACATGGACAATTTGGAAGACATTATGTTCAGCAAAGTTAAGCCATTTCATAAAGGCCAATACTGTTTGAGACCACTGTTAGAAATAAAAAAGCAAGAAAAATGGTTTTGACACCAAAAGGGCAGACTTTGAAAGATACCAGGCGGAAGGGGAGCTAGAAAGGGCAAAGGGAGGGCGATCTCACTGAAACTCATCCCCGTGGAGTTGATGCCATCTCAGAGCGACCCTAAGGGACAGGGCAGAACTACCCCAGTATCTGCTTGTGGGAGGACAAAGCCTCATCTTTCTGCAGTGAACTGCCTGGTAGTTTTGGAGCAATGACCTTGAGGATCACAGCCCAGCAAATAATCACTCCTTCAGGGAAGGAGAGGCAACAGTAAATAGATAAGTAATAAAAAACAGAGACACACATACTGATACACCTTGAGAGATACAAAAAAGGAAAAAGGGGGTTGGGGGAAGCAAGGGATATAAGATGAATTTGTATGTGTTTGCTCACATAGTCTAAGGAATTGAACCATCCTGGAAGATAAAGTACGCTCGTGAGTCTCTAAAAGGGCGTTACATCCCAGCGGCTATCGGTGTGGACTCTGCAAACCAAACTCACTGCCACATCCGGCGCAGTGGCTTTCCAAGACGAGCTCTCCGGAATTGGAATGCCCCTTGAAGCCTCAGCTTAAATCCCAGAACCACAGGGTATTATCCTTTGGACTCTGGGCAAATTGGTTATGAAAATATATAGACACACACCTAGCATACCATAAATATATTCAATGTTTATAATAATTATTTTTACCTTTTTAGTGAAATTAAAAGATAATATGAAAAAAGTTACTTTGCCTACCCCCTTTTATGACAAACTCATTTTTAAGTGATAGTTAAAATTGAATTGTGTAGGGAAATCTTCCCAACCACCTACAGATTAGGTGAAGACTCTTATATCTTCTGATTCTTATTAGAGCTCTCATCCCACCTGGCACCATGTATGTTGTCATGTCCATCTTCCCTACAAGGTTATAAAGTTCATCAGTCTAAGGATTCGGTCTTTTCTAATTCTTGCACATTTTTGAAGCCAGTCTATTCTCAGTATGATTTTTCATTGATTCTTTTTTTTTTAAATCGATCTATTGGGGCTCATAAAATTCATCACAATACATAGATCAATTGTGTAGAGCACATCTATACATTTGTTGCCCTCATCATTCCCAAAATTCGCTTGCCTCTTGGGTTCCCGGAATCAGCTCATTTTCCTCCCCCCCCCCCTCTTTTCTGTGCCCCTCCCCCATGCACCCTTGATAATTTATAAATTATTATTATATCTTATATTACACTGCCCGGCATCTCCCTTCACCTATCCCTCTGTTGCCCATCCCCCAGAGAGGAGGTTATATGTAGCTCTCTGTGATCAATTCCCCCTTTCTACACCCCCTTCCCTCCTGGTATCGCCGCTGTCACCCCTGGTCCTGAGTGGTTCATCTATCCTAGATTCCCTGCGTTTCCAATTCCCATCTGTACTGCTGTGCATCATCTGGTCTAGCCAGATCTGCAAGGCAGAATTGGGGTCCTGGTAGTTGGGGGGAGGAAGCGTTTAAGAACTAGAGGAATGTTGTGGGTTTCATTATTGTTATACTGAACCCTATGTGACTCATCTCCCCACTACCCCTCTGCAAAGTATGTCCAGTTGTCTAGAGATGGGCATTGGGTCTCCATCACGCACCACCCTCATTGACAAGGATATGACTTTTCTCCCCGCCTTTGGTGTTTGAAGCCTGATTCTTTAGAAGTAGTTTTCTCCACTGTAGATTGTAGCCTAAAATTATATCAACGTTTTTCTTCTTCTTCTGCAGTTGGAGGATCCTGCTATTCGATGGCAAATGGCTCTGTACAAAGACTTACCTAACAGGACTGAGAATACAGCTGATCCAGAGAAGACTGTAGAAAGAGTATTGGATATAGCAAATGTCCTTTTTCATCTTGAACAGGTTAGATTCTGTGTTTATTTAATAACATTTGTATCACACCCATAAAATATTTAAAAACACATATATGTTAATTTAATTATGGTTCAAAAAGCACATGCTAAGTGTGTTCAATTCTTTTACCATGCAAATTAAGGGAGTTTTGTATCTAGTAAACACAAGTTTTAAGCATGTAATTCTTTTTTTTTTTTTTAAGCATGTAATTCTTACAGGGCTATACAGATAAGATATTTTTGAGATTTAACCTTTGTCTTACTATGCTTTTCAAAATAAAAGTTAGGTAGATAATTAGAGTTATGCATTAATTCTTAGTTACTATTCCAAAAGCAGAGTTATACCTGATTTAACATATTTAATGCATATATAATTTTAAGTAATATTTTGTTGTATTTTTGGTGAAAATTGACAGCTAATTAGGGTTCCATTTGACATTTTGTACACAAACTGTTCAGTGGCATTAGTTACATATTTCAAAGTGTCAGTGCTTTTTAAAATTGTTCTCTGGTGGTGCAAGTTTCCAGTACTGTAGTTTCCCTGCCTCCTTCTCCCTTTCCTTTAAAGTTATTGTTGTTATTTTGGCGTCATGTAGATTTTTTTAATGTTTCTATCATATTTCATTACAGTTCTCTTTTTATCATTTTATTGGGTGCTCATACAACTCTTATTATGGCCCATACATACATTCATTGTCTCAAGTACATTTGTACATATGTTGCCATCATCGTTTTCAAAGCATTTTCTTTCTACTTGAGGCCTTGTTTTCAGCTCATTTTTTCCCCTCCTCCCCCTCACTCCCTTCCTCATGAACCCTTGATAATTTACAGATTATTAATTTTTCATGTCTTGCACTGTCCGTTGTCTCCCCCCATCCCTTTGTCTGCTGTCCATCTCCCTGGAAGGGGGTTATAGATACCTCATTGTGTTTGGTTCCCCTTTTGTCCCCCCACCTTCCCCTTACCCTCCTGATATGGCTAGTCTCACTATTGGATCATTACTGCTCTTAACTACATGTTTGATATATTATCTTTATTGGTTTAATATGCAGAGTAATATTTTTTGCTTGCTTAGTCTTCCTTTTTATTAACATGTTTTTGTAGCTAGTATTATCTAAGATAATTCAAATGCAGTAACACATTGATATTAAAATCATATGAAATAGGTACTTTTATAGTATTTTCCAACTGTAATCTATTTCATATAACAATGTTCAATCTGTGTTTGATTTTCTTATTCATTATCTTTTCTTCAAAATTCCTAAAGCAATAATATTTTAAACATTATAATCAGTGGATTATATTTTGGTATAAGAGAATTCTCTAGCTAAGGTAAACTATGTATAGAGTTGTGTTTTCAATTTCTAATGAACTCCATTCAGCAAAGTAACACTGCGCTTAGGAAACTATCAACAAATAGAGTGATATGTCCTTAGGCTTTATGACAGTACCTGCCAGACATGACCGAATAGTTATTTTATACTGAACAAAAAATAATTAAATGCCCTATATCACTCCAAGGAGCCCTAATGCCACTGTGGGCTAGACATTGATCTGCTAACCTCAAGGTTGGCTGTTCAAACCCACCAGCTGTCCCACAGATGAAAGATAAGGCTGTCTGCTCTCTTAAGATTTAGTGCCAGGAACCCTACATAGGGTTGCTATGAGTTGGAATAGACTTAAGGGCAGTGAGTTATGTCATTTCAGGAGCTCTGTCACTTAAAAGGTTTGAAGAATATTTGGAAAAATGTGTCTCTCTTAATCATATTTAATGGTAATTTTTAAAAATACCAAACTTACTGTTATCAAGTCAATACCAACTATAGGAAATCAATAATAAACATTTTGTTTTGAGTCCTGTTTTGCAGTACCTGGTCAGTTAAATAACATAAAGCTATCACATAAAAGGGAGCCCTAGAGTAGTGCAAATGAAACTACTCACTAGAATGCTACCAGTTGAAATCCCCCCAGAGGTGACTCAGCAGAAAGGCATGGAAAGTGTTTCAGAAAGGTTAGGCTCAGGAAACCCTCATGCCCATTCATTCTCTGACACACCTGGGTTCTCCATCTGTCCGAGGTGACTTGCTGCCAGCTCTCCTGCTGTTATCCTCAACAGTGATAGCTTTTCCATTTTCTTCTTCCTTATTCAGATTCCCCAAATGCTAGAAAGGCCTCCAATGCCATCTATTTTATAGAGACATAGGATGAGATTAAACTAATTAAGAAACTAATAGACCATCTGGACATCAGCACACATTTGTATAATACCTTCACACTTAATATTTTTTCTTTAAAAGCTCTCTAATGCTTTCATGAAATGCCAAATAAGTATTGTCAGCAGATCAGATGACTTGAATTGATAACATTTAAGTTATTTATATAAAATGACAGAATCATGTTTATAGAATATATGCATATTCAAGAATATTATTCAATTATAATAAAGCAGCTATTGATGTGCCAATTCTGGCATCCATTACTCTATGTAAAGTCTCTAATTCTTTCTGATTTTATTACATATTTATAGGGTTAGGTAAATAGATTTTAGACCAGTGGATGCTAAACAAAATTTATTGAAATCTCATTACATTTTTATATTCCTCAAACATATGTAATCATACTGAATGATTTCATTTGCATAAAATCAAGAGCTACTGTAATAAGCATGCACTTATTTTTTTTTTAATTGGGTGCCTTGCCACATACCAACTTTATGCTCAGCTGGTCCTGGTGGTTGAATGCTATCTTGGTGAGACTCTAAGAAAGGGTTTGGCCACATACAGAGATAGACATGTCATGGTAGAGATGTGCTTGGATTCTAAAGTATCTGAAAGGGGTTATGCCAGGAGCCTAACTTAAATGTAACGTAGATAACACTTGGGTAAATCTTAAAAGAAACGCAGTGGATAGAGAGTTCTTTTGTCTCTCTCTCATCAAATTCACTGCCATCAAGTCAGCTCCAACTCCCAGTGATCACATTGGGCAGAAAACAACTGCCCTTGGGAGTTTCTGAGACTATAAATCCTTCCTGGAGTCGAAAGCCTAATTTTTCTCCTGTGAGAGGCTGATGGTTTCAAAATACTGACCTTGGGGTTAGCAGCCCAATGTGTACCCCACTATGCTGTCAGGGCTAGGGACTTAGTGGGTTACGCATAGGGTTGCTAACCAAAAAGTCATATAAAAATAGTAGGAACAGAAAAGTGGGTGAAGGGAGACGTCGGACAGGGCAAGATATGACAAAATAATAATTTATAAATTGTCAAGGGTTCATGTTGGAAGGGGGAGCGGGGAGGGAGGAGAAAAAATGAGGACCTGATGCCAGGAGCTTAAGTGGACAGTAAATGTTTTGAGAATGTTGAGGGCAATGAATGTACAAATGTGCTTTACACAATTGATGTATGTATGGATTGTGATAAGAAAAAAACAAATAAAAGCACATTGTTGAGAACAAGGGGGGTCAGAGCAGAGACCCAAAGCCCATCTGTATACAATGGAACATCTCCCCACAGAGGGATTGTATGGAAGGAGTAAGTCAATCGGTGCAGTAGAGCACTGATGGACCATGCAATATACTTCTGGTTCCTTGAGCCTTCCTCGCCCCCTACTATCATGACCCCAGTGCTGCTACCCACTCTGGACTGGACGGGAACATGTACATAGGTATAGACTAGAGGACATATGGAACCCAGGAACAGGAATGGGAATAGTGATACAAGACAGGTAGGGAGAAGGGTACAGGGAAGGGGGAACCGATCGCAATGAATGGCACATAACCACACACCCCTCCAGGGGGAAGAACAACAGAAACAAGAGGAAAAGGGATTCAGCAGTCGATATGAGATATGAAAATAATAACAATTTATAATCTATCAAGGGGCCACAAAGGTGGGCCGGGAGGGAAGAAAAGAGGAGCTGATCCCAAGAGTTCAATAGAAACTAAATGTCTAGAAAAGAATGATGGCAATATTTGTGCAAATATGTCTAATACAATTGATGTATGGGTTGTAGCAAAAGTTGTAAGAGCCTCCAATAAAATGATCTTAAAAAAAAGAAAAGAAAAAAAAAGAATTGTATGAGCCCCTAATAAAATGATAAAAAAGAAACATAAAAAAGTAGTAGGAACATAAAAATCCTTGTTGATTTAATGTATATCAAATATAAACAGCTTTTAAGGATGTATATTTTACATTATATATATGCAAATTTATCTCAAGAGCATGGGTTGTCTCATTAGGAGTTCTTAAAATTATAGTCAAACTAGCACAATCACAAATGGAAGCATTCAAACAATTTCAAGATACATTTTGGTTTTAACCTATGAAACTGATATGGCAAATATCTGTTTACTTGATTTACAGAAAAACTCACTATGTAAGTTTCTTTATTATCCACTAAAATTCTGTGCCAATGTTAAACTTCAGGATGGCCAGGGCCTTTTCTAACCTACTCACTATCATATGTCCAGTGACTTTGCAAAAGGTGTGTCTATGTATCATGATGATCATCCATGTTGATCTTAATGCCTTATCCTCAAAAAAGAAAACCTACTATCTTTACAGTCTTGAATGTCAAAATAGAAGTAAAATTAAAAGTTAGCTCTTTAATATCTGTAATTCAAACATTCTTTATGTTTCTTCAGGCAATATTACATTAATTTTTGGCCCTTTTGACACCACAAGGGATAATGATTTTAATTTTTCATTAACAACCATTTTTCTTTCTTCCAGAAATCTACATATATGAGCCTGAGATATTACAGTCTGGGAAGTATAGTGTTTAATTGCCTAGAAAATACTAATTAATTTTAGCATCCTGTTGGGAATTTCCTCTCTAATACTTGTAATTAATCATATTCCACTTTTAAGCACCATTAGCCAATAAGTAGAGCTTGCTTGCATTATTCCTTGCACATTTTTAAGTCTCATTTGTACCTAACAAAATTGTATGAATATTTTAACATACCTGTAAACGTAAATAATTTTACCCACTCTTAATCACTTCAACTCACATTAATTACTGTAGCTTCAAAGATAAATTAGTTACAATGGATGCATACATAATATAAAGAGTAGTGGTGTTTTTATTTAGGTAACATGTAGGAATGTTTGTAATCTTGTTTGCCAAATAGTAGTGAAAAACTTAGAAATTAGAACTGTCCTTTTAATTAAAACCATAT